TTTGTGTTTCACCTCTCCGTAAGCCTATCATCCAGATTTCAAAAACCGAATTAACAAATGCCAAAAAAAATAAGAAAAAAGAAGCAGAATCATAAGGAGAGAAAAAACCAACCATGTCACGAAAACAGCTGAACCCATGATCTTTAATACTTTCAATTTTCTTCCTAACTACAAAATAACGGTCGAGATAGGATAAGAAACGTGAAAGCCACTTGACCATTACTTTATGGTCACTCCATCGTCTTACAAGCTCCCTCAACATGAATTCGTCGTGCTTGTCTCGCAAAGAAGGATTGACCTGATAAACAAAACATCGAATATATTATCTCGAAAAAAAAAAAAAATAATAGATTGGCATAATTACTTAATCGACTTAGATTAAGTACCGTTGACATGATATACGCCTGAACAGATTCCTTGTAGTTGTTGTAGAGCTGCTGACAAATATAATCATCATCAATGTTATTACGGCCGGCCAGGTTGAACATAGTGCTTTGTTTCATGTCAAGGACAAACCATATATATATATATATATATATATATATATATATATATATATACACACAAACGCATACCGTTTTTCTTGTACACAAAATTCCCCAAACTCCGATTACGAAAATAAACAAAAAAACACATAATAAATTTTATAAAATATTCGTGAAGGATACGTGTAAAGCCTCATATACTCTTCCGAACTGAATTGCGATTCCAGTTCTTCCAGAATGTTCTTCACTTTAGCGATGCCGTCTTCCATAATAGCCCATCCTTCTTCCATGGCCTCTACATTATTCTTTCTAAGCTTTTTCGATTTCGTCTGCGGCACTCAAAAATCACAATTATTTTAAAAAATACGCCTAACTAAAATCACATCCATCAAATTAAACAACAGAAAATAAAATAATTTACACATACCATGGTTGGGGGAATTGGAATTCTCAGCTACGGACGTTTTGTTGGGAAGCAAAGACGAACACAAGTACTGCAGGGTTTATATAGGTTTTTATGAACGTCTGTATGTATATTGTATGTATGTATACTACATATATTATATATATATATTTATTAGTCCAACGGGAGGGGAATTTGTTTCCTAATACGAGTCGTTTTCTTCTTCATAAAAAATAAAAATATTAATATTAATAGTAATAATAATAATAATAAAAGAAAAAATAGACGGAACATACGAGACGTTTTCTTTTCCGCTTAATTTACCTTGATTTGCGAAATTACCATG